CAAAAAAGTTTTGACCTTAAAGTATTTTAAGGACATATGAATAGAGCTGAACGGAGAAGAAGAAAGGGACGAGAACAAGAAAGAGAGAATGTTCGTTGTGATCTATCTGTTGTGTTCTACATGCTTGAAAATTTTTATTTTTATTTTTTGTTTTCTGTCTTCAGAATCAACTATCGTTTGTCACATTTGATTGATAATGTCTTTTGAATAAAGTCTAACGGAAAGTAGCTATTTTCATTATGATAAAGGTGGTTTATATCTTATTGTCTATTTTAAAGTATTACTATCCATTTCAACTTAAGCTGCGTCAGAATATCAAGATGTGCTCTATTTTATCTGCACTATGTATAGTACTATTGATATGGGAAGATATTCTCACATTGTGAAACAGCAGTAAATGGACATAAGACAATGGGAAAAGAAATTTGAAGTTATTTTATTCACGAAGAGTGATAAGAGCAGCAGCACTTCACTCTAACAGTAATTTGTGTATTCTTTGCTATTTTTAGCAATGTTAAGCGCAGTTTCTTCTTTAAAGACAGTAAACTAGTCTAATAAGTTACCTCAGGTGTCCAATATGAGCTAAGGTATTTATAATTGGCTAATTGACAATTATCCAGAGCAGGTTTTCTTTTCTAATGGAAAAACTTTAAAAAGTTATTAATTAAAATATTTTAAAATTAAAAAATTGTTTTATTTTAACTTCAGTTCAAAATTTTGTTTTGAAATTCCCTTCTAGTTATTCTATACAGAATGGCATCAGCTACAGTTTCACTAGCGAACATTTTTTGCGGAAATTCTTTGTTAGCGTGCAATCGCTGGCAAGGTTTTCAAAAATGACTTTTATACTTACAAGTAAGTAAATTGTTTGTGTACTTATAAAAAGTACACAAACAATTTATTTCGTATGACCATATACTTACAGTCAATGGAATAATCGTTGATATTTCAGATCTACCAGACTCGAGCAGTAAATTAAAAAACCAATTAAAATATGATTCATAATCGAACAAAATTGCTCTTCGCTAATGATAGAAAGATTCCAATTGATAAAATTTTGAAAAAGAAAGACAGAAGTTCAGTGTCTTTAGTAGAGGTGGCACATTACTGTTACTTTTACGAGTAATCCAAATGTTGTATATATTCCTATTACTAGTAACAGTAATATTTTCAGTTTTACTGGTGTTGGTAATAGGAATGTTCATCAAATTTGTACCAGCAACAGTAAAACTGAAAAGTATTACTGTTACTGGTAATAGGAATATATACAATATTTGGAGTATCGTAAAAGTAACAGTAATGTGCCGCCCCTAGTCTTTAGCAGCCAGCAAAGAAGCTCAAAAGACTTTAACAGTGTATATTGAATCGAGAGGTGTTATTATTCCTACAAGTCTTTCGGACATGGACAATACTATAGCTGCATCGGCTTCGCACGACTTTCAGCGATACTATTTCTTCTCTTACTCTAGATAATTTTCAATTAGCCAATTATAAATACCTTAGCTCATATTGGACAACTGAGGTAACTTATTAGACTACACTCTAAAAAAGAATCGTCGTGTACAAAACTCAAAGGGTTTAATAATGGGTTTATGAAACGTTATTAAACCCGTTAGAGTATTTGAGTCCTTCTTAAAAACCTAAAAGTTTTTGTGAAGGGTTTATTAGTTTTACTGAACCTTAGGATACTTTAATCTACGATTTAGGAAAACAATTAGGGTTTTTTCTTAAGGTTGAAAGGTTTCGCGAAGGAGGTGAAAAATTCAGAGGTTTTTACAATTTCGTCAACAAGTATATTGGTGTTTCATTCCTCCAAATCATCCAAAATCCTAGAATGTAGAAGGTTTCTCTGTACATATTTTTATCGTAGAAAGCGAATTAAGTCAATTTTTGAGTTTTAGTCAGTGGAACAAGCTCGATATTATCTGTTGCTTAAAATGTCTGACTTAGTACACAAGTTTGTCGGACTTCTATTTTTCTAGCATAATAGAAGTCATTCACAAGCATGAAAAGAAAACTACGATTAAAAAATTGAGAATGATGTAACTATATATATGACAAGAAGAGAGAATATATAGATCCCTAGAAGTAGTATACTACTTCTAGGGATCTATATATAGGAATCTAGATACCTTAATAATGAAGAGAAAACAGTCAATTTTTTCCCTGCCTAAGTAGTTAAGGAAATTGCACATATATATATGCAACAAAAGTATAGGTTTCCCTTGAGTACGATCCTATTTAAGAGGGCTAAGTATGAATGTTCTTACAAAGCCGTGGGGGAAAGACACGTCGAATGGACAAAATAGAGATGGAAATTGCCGAAAGTTGAACAAATGTATGTGGTTGAAATGAACCCTGTCACGCTCAATCGGGCGATGCATGATTAGTTGGAAAAGGGATTTTAACTAGATGTGTTTGCATGTGCAACTAGCAGTAGTTAAATCGGACGATAAATCGATAGCTACGGCTGAAGAAAAATCTAGCAATCGCTCGATTACTAGATTTTCACTGTCGTTACTAAATAATCGAGTAAAATCCAGTGATCCACATGAATCAGGCGATACTAGACTTTTTTATGCTGGGAATCTTCCTTTCTACATTTTTTTCTTTCGACGTTTTCCATGTGAACGAGTTTTATTTGCTTTATTTTATAGTATTCTTAGACAATCAAATACTCCCAAGCGAGCAAAAGTCTAGTAATCTAGATGAATCGGGCGATACTGGGTTTTTTTTGACGTTTGGACTGCACTTTGTAAATAAATTCTTTTTTATTGCTGTGAATTTTTAGTCACCGTTGAGAGAACTTTGACATTTTTAGGAGCTTTTTCTTCATATAACTGATTCAGACGTGGAAAATCTCATTAACTAATACACGATCAGTGTATTATATTTCATACAAGAATGTTTTTTCTCTTTTCTTTCTAACACCATCAGCGGCAGAAACGAAAAAGAAACGAGAAAAAATATTGTTCTATGTTATGTTCTCCATTATTACGCTTTCTACACTGGGTTTTTTCCCCCGTATTATTCTTAAAACAGAACTGAACGGAAAAAAAGTTTTATGATTCTTTGCAGAACAGTATGCGTTTAATAATACAACAAATAAAATTGGTCACATTCCACTCGTCTTTCATCTTTCAGATGGAAATTATTAACTTGCTCAGAAATTTCATTGCGTCACAAAAGTTAGATGATGGAAATTTGGACGGTCTCTGTGAGATTCTTGATCAACAAGAGAAAAAATTAAAAACGTCTACAAATCCCGCCAATTTGAAGCGATGCATTAATTTAGAAGGTAAACTAACGAGAAAAAAACACTCTGACTTTATTTCAAAGCATACGAGTTTATTCATTCAGGTTTTGATGCATGTGGGAAAAGCACTATTTCACTGTTACTGAGAGAGAATCTTCAAAATTCTCGATTACTACAGACACCACCATTACTAGTATCCAGATACCGATCATTTTTCGATAAACAAGAGGAGACAATTCGTCGACTGTTTTACAATTTGGGCAATTTAATCGTGTCTAATGAACTGATCGACACTACTCACAATGACGAATTACTTATTTTAGATCGATACTGGCCATCGACAATCGCATATAAATTAGCTCGTCAAACAGAAAAGTCACTCGAATCTATTAACAATGAATTGGTATGGCCAAACTATCTCAATAAGCCGACAAGGATACTTTATTTGTTCGTACCTGAAGATGAGAGGCTAAGAAGGATTGAGAAGCGAAGTGTCCAAGTACCAATAACTCTAGAAGAAGAACAGCTAAAGAATGAACAGACTTTTCGTCATCGTTTAGATAAAATTTATCGACAAATACCAGATGTCGAAATTATAGATGCTAACAGACCTCCGACTGAGATTGTACGAGATATTTTACAAAACTATGTATGAAAATCGATAACATTGTTATTATTCAAGGGCAATAACAAAAATAAAAACTTTAGTGCGATTGCAGCTGAAATATCCATAACTTGGTTTAACAAGACTGAAGGCAGAGATTGATCTTTGGCCTTTTCTCTATTTGTTTCTTCATAACTTTTCTCAATGTTGACATATCTGTGATGATTTTATTTTTCGCTGCTTACAGAATGTAGATCTGAGCCTTTATCTAAAAAACACATTAAAACACACTTTATTACATTTAAGCGGACGGTAACCTGTTCATTATTCGAGAATGGGTCTCGTCGCTAGAGAAAGTAGCGTGTAATATGTAAATAACTGATAGTAATAAACTTAAATCAATTAGTAACCACACAATAGTTTGAACTACTTTAGAAAAAGTGAATTTCTTTTAACAAATTCATTTCAACAGTTTCTATTCAAACCATTTGGTTCAGATTTCAAATTACATGATTAGATAGCCCAAGTGACTCAAAACTTTAGAGAAAGGAAAAACGGCAATAGCATATAGGAGAACTTCTAAAGCTTCTACTAAACCGCTTATGTATGCATCGGCAACAACATATTGTTTAGACTTATTCGATCTATCCGATTAACCAGAACGTTTATGTGTTTTCTCGATATATACATATGCCTCATTTAGAAAAACCGCGTGAATTTGGGTAATCAGTGAGCAGAGTAAGGCCGAAACCGCCATGATCACTTACACCTCTGACTTTTTTCAAGCGTGATTTGTTTTGTGTGAAAATGTGAAATTATGCACTAAAAAATCATACATAGTCAAATGTGAAAAGAATGACGTGTGAAACAATCAATCTGCGCATGAAAATATTCATCAGTTGTGAAAATGAGTGATTATAGTTACTTCTTCAGTGGCGAGGCTGAACATTCCTGCGTGACCAGGATACTGTCAGGGCCATGTGTACACAATATTCGCAGATATTACCTATCTGACTAGAGAGATCCAGAGAGACTGTAGCGGGCATTTTAACCTGAAATGGATAGTAGGCTCAATTACATCTATCATGAACATGATAGGACGAAACATTTTTAAAAGATAAAGCTGTCATTCGTGATGTATTCAGTAATTTGTTTTGTTTTGTAACTGAAAATGTTAAAGCCTTTTAACTTGAAGTAAATACTTTCTTAACCCGACGGTTGATTGATTTTCTTACTGGTTGAATATTTCATTGAAACTGTAGAAAGCTTTGTTAGAGCATTTGATGGTGAAGATCTATCACCGTTATAATTATTGATTGTGGTGATGCTAAATGTTAAGCAATATTTTATTTTCTTTGCTATTATTTTAAAAGTTGACTATTTCTTTTCTATTGCGTTGACGTGTCTTGCCTTTATACAGTATTATTGGTATATGAACATGATAGGATTCACATAAAGAACTTAGTCCTTGTTCACTCTACCTGCTTTGTATCCAACATGTTTCTTTTCTGTTCTCAATGACTATGTGCAACGACTTCCACCTGTCTATTATGAGTTAATGTTTAACATTTCTGTTTATTTTATTTTTTAACATCTATTCTTATTTTGATTGGTTGTATTTTAGCTTTCTTCTTTTCAGCTGTTATTATGTTATACATCTTACTTATTGCGTGGTGTCTACTATTATAAGTGTTAACCACTTGCTTGTAGATATTAGGTGATATACTTCATTTTATTTAATATAGTTTACAAAAAAATGTACTTATACTTATCAAGAGCCATCGAACCAAAACATGCAACTCTCTCTCCGTTTGTCCACAAAAAGAAAATGCATTTTAATAGATCTGGCGAAAGACGTACAGTTACATGTCAGATAGTAGAAAACTGATCACGAGTAGTGATCAAATGCCAAAAGCCCGGTTCAGATGCTAGAACAGAGGAAATATGTTATGTATATAGATAAAAGAAGGCAGTAACATTTGTGTTACGCAACGAGACTACACTTCTCAACGAACAATAACTTCAGCATTAAGCTTTTGACTGCAGAACCACATCTTTTTGATTGTGACGAACGAAGCAAAAGGAGTTCAAACTGTGGAAAGTCTTATAATACAGTATCGTTCTGTTCGTCTCTTTTTTTGTTCTTTACTACGCGGGTGGTGCGTCGCTAGTACACATTGTTCGTTTCTCCTGGCTTTATGTCAATAATTATGACAGTATAGAATCATCGTCAGCTTTTTCCGTTCTGATCGGTTACTAGATAAAATAGTCATTGCACAACATCATCTATACTTCAACTGAAATACGACATTTCTGTGTGTAAGTGAATGTTGAGGTTAGCTAGATATTGAATACAGTTACTTCTACGGGATTACAAAATCTGGTGTAATTACAAAAAAAATATAAAATCTACCAAAAATGACCAAAAAAATATAAAATCTACCAAAAATGATCAAAAAAATATAAAATCTACCAAAAATGACCAAAAAAATAAAATACTTCGATTTCATTTTGTCGCTTTTCAAAGATACAGAGTAACGTACAAAAAAACAAATGACTGTTCACGCAACCTAGCCTTGACTTTTTTGTTTCCTCTTAGCAAGAATCGAATGCATGAAGATATTCAATGATAATGTTACGACTACTGATTCTTCGTAAACAGCGTTCTTGAAAAAACCTTTTGAAATTTTTGTAAAGTTGCACATTCATCATGAAGTGAAAAGATTTTTAAAGTGGTCGATGAAAGTTTAGAGACACCGACATTTCCGCGAACAACATTATTGCGAACCGCCATCATGCCGACATAGACCATAGGAATTTTTCCCCCAGCTATATTCGGGATTGAACAACTTTTGTATGGTCTATGTCAACATGCGCTCATGGACTATGTCGACATATATGTCGACATAGACGATACGTGGCAAGTGTTTCATAATACACATTGGGTATCGATAACTTGACTACTTTTCGAACTCACTCTCACACTGCCCTCGCCCCTATGGTCTATGTCGACATAATGGTGGTTCGCGGTAATGTCTTACGCGGAAATGTTGTGCGACGAAAATTTTAATCCTTTTAAAAGTCGCTTGACGGATGCTGCGAGTACTCGAGAATCGGCTTCTTTATGTAATCGATTATGTAATTCTTTAATTACATAATCGACAAAGAAAGAAATATTTGTTTTACAAACCAATACTGTGTGCAATATTATTTAGTTGTATAAGTATATCAGCATGTGTTGCTTGTTCTTGATGAATTAGTTTTTGTAAAAATGACCAAAGCGTAGGAAATACACATCCTATAAGACGATCCCATGCTATTACAGAATTATCTGTATGCATCGATGATTGTGTTATTCTTGCATGCATATTGCAAAATTCAATACTAAATGATGGTTGACGTCGTGTATTGTCAGGGCGAAGTCGTCCTATATATGTAGTTTCAAAATGATTTAAAAAATCTTGGTAATCATCATCAAGATCTAATGAAAGACGTGAATTTGCATGTAACACATCAGAAGGTGGAATAAAAGCTAACGCAGCTATTTTATTAATATTATATTGTAGTATATTGAATAAATTGACTAAATTAACTTTCTCTTAAATTTTTTCAACTGTTTTTGATACAAAAAATTTAAGGTCCTCTCCTCCCCCTTATATCTGCCCTCAAACTATGTCAGTTTGAAGAGGACACCTGATTACATATAGCCTTCAGTTTTTGCGATGAATTGATAACTATTCACAGATATTAATTAATTAACTTTAAATTTTAATTAAAAGTTCGACTTCGATGGTATTGTAAAATAATTCCTTATACTTTATTGGAATGCCCGATCAACATCACGGCAAATTTATTTTGTAGACACTCTTTGATTGTATATAATAAGCTTTAAAAAGTTTGAAAAGTCTTCCTGCGACATAGGTGTTTTAAGCAAAGCATTGTAAAACGGGTGTTTATTCTACTTCTAAGTATAAACAGTAATTTTTGTTTGCAAAATAAATATTTCTTTCTTTGTTGATTATGTAAATAAAAAATTTAATATTTCATATAATGGTATACTTATATGTACGTGTATGTGTATTTAATATTTTATATAACAGTATATTGAATAAATTAATTAAATTAACTTTCTTAAATTTTTTCAACTGTTTATGATACAAAAAATTTAATGGATAAATTATAAATTTGTGCTTATGTTTCCTAGTGTTCGACTTCTCTGTGCTCATCGTTCCGTGCTCATTTTTCATCCACCCGGTTAGCAGATATAAGTTCTTAAAGTCAAGGAACCGAACGAGTGCAAACGAGAGTTACCTTTTCGTGAATACTGCGTTAATAAATGGAAAAAATAAGCATCTCCTCATATGAGAGTAGCACAGAGAGAGGTACAGCACGAAACGTTTTCTACTATTAGACATTCAAGAGGTGTATTATGGAATCTGTTCGAGTACGAAACCATGAAGAGTATGATACAAAACCTTGTTATAAGCATTATTTATTCAAGAAAAGGACGAAAACAAGTTTAACCAAATGAAGAGAACAAGAAAAAGAGGCGAATCCATTGTATCATTTTGCCGATTCATACATAAGAAAAGATGCAACAGTATACAAATTGTATAAAAGAAAGAAGGGTATCATAAGAAATCTCTTCGATTACTGAACCTTAATGAGGTTTCGCAGCTCGGTACCATACCTGATCGGTATGGGAAAGTTTCACAGAATTTCACAAGTTTCATGCTATAGTTTTCATGCCACAGTAGAAATAAAACTTATAAATATGTTTGGATACTAAATGATCAAAACGAGGTGAAGGAAGGAGTTACTGAAACATCATTTTCAGCGTGGTTTAAAACCTGGAAATGACCAAACAGTGGGAGGCGAGTTTCGTCGTGATGAGTTCTCGTTCTCTTGCGTTTCATTTTCTTTTTCTACTCGGACACGCAGAACATAAAGAAATGACACACACACACTGCTTATCTAACTATGTAATATAAATAAAGAAAAAGATTAAGATGCAAAATGGTCCCTGCTTAGAGTTTCGAGTATATATTCAAACGCACACTAATCATGTAATGGAATGATGTATAACACAATATTATCAGATACATTTAGATGAGTTTTTTTAGAGCAAGGTTTGGGGTTTCTTTTCTTGTGTGTACTACGTTAAATTTTGTTGCTCGAGTGCCGATTACGCAACAGTAGGAAAAATTTGCTTTTCTATACTTTCGATGACGAAGAAACCAAATGTACAATTCAGATTTGAATAGATTTAGATTCTTTTTTGAAAACCGTATAATACGAGCGCAATGCACTCATCACATACGTAGAGAAAGTATTGGCCACTTGTGACTATTGAATGAAACTCTAGTACCGTAATGAGCCGCTTTTTAATTATGCACACATTTTACGCACATAGAGACACGTCTCGTAATCACATGATATTTCCACAGAATACTATTTGAAAAACAAAGCATCTTTTTGCTTGTTTGTAGCGCAAAATTACACAAAAAAAGAGGGAAAATAATGTTCATTTAAATGAACAAAAAAAAACTGGTGAAAAGCGGCCGATTATTCATTTCAAGCGGTATGGGATCATAAGTAACAACCCTGAAAATATGAATTTAGCTAGGGTACCGTGTTCACTGATCAGAACATTTTAATCGCTTATCGTTTTGGAGTTATTCAACAATCTATTACGTTTAAGAGACTGTATATTATAATCGATATGTTTCGAAAAATATTTTCCTTACATTAGTTATATCTGTGACAACGCTTTCACGATCAGTACAAATATTCTTTCAATGTGGACTGTCTAAAAGCAAATACTCATTTTGTTTGACCAATCTATTCTTTCAGCAGATTCATTGGTCGGTTTTCTTGTGGAATCTTGTTTTATTTTCTATTACTCTTTCGTTATAGTCAATTGAATAACAATAACAACAACATCGAGAAACAGCTCGCATTTCTGTTTCCTCTTCTTTTTTTTCAGTGTTTTACATACCTATTTACTGATTTTTCTCCGGTTATAGAGAACAACGTCTCACGAAGAAAAAGCAAATATGTCTGCTGCGACAACAAATCAGTTGCAAGCATCTGGTGAATGGAATACATTATTATCTAATAAAGTGGTATTTTTGAGTGGTGGCGGTGGTTATATAGCACAATCGATTGCTCATACGTGCTATTTACATGGTGCTAAAATTATTTTAGCTGACATCAGTAAACAGGCAGCATTGAATGTTAAACAACAAATTTTAACACAGGATAATAAGATTGATGATGATGATAATCGTATATTGGTGATTGAAGTTGATGTAACAAATGAAAGTTGTATTAAACAAGCTGTGGATCTAGCAATGTCAAAATGGAATAAAATAAATATATTGATAAATACGTAAGTTTTGTAAACAGGCAGGTTTATGTTGGCCGAATAGAATTCGATAAAATTCGTTCAGTAGTCTTCAGAGAACTCCGAATATGACGTTAGGTAACGTGCTCTATTCTAGAGAAGCAATTATTGTCTACTTCTCATTCGAAACTTTAGAGAGGGCATCTGGATTAGGCATGCACTGATACCGACATTATATCAGTAATATTGGTATCGGTCGTATCTGTATCGGTATTGCTCATGTATTGGTGATAAAATACCTCTCTTTTTCAAGATATTCTATATCCGTTCATTGCTTTACGACTAGAGACTCCAAAGCAACAACACGATGTACGATACCTCACAAAAATCACAGCTTTTTAGGGTCGATACGTGAGCGATACCGATACGATATCGATATACCAGTATTGATGAATGCCTAATCTGGATAGCTGGAAGACCAATATTAATCTTTTCAGTTGGAAAAGCTTTCTTTGATAATAAATATGCGTTAAACGCTTATCTTCAACCCACATGTCTTTGAAAACTCGCTCTTCGAACTGAAAAGGCGCAAAAAAAGTATACTTAGGTGTACGATAGGCGGTCACGACACGTAACCACTTTGTACAATTATGTCTCAAAGATATCGTGACGGACATATAATTACACATATTCTAGTACCGCTGTTTTTCCTATGGGTACAGTTGAAGATATTACCGACGAAGTATGGAATAGTGTTTTAGCTATCAATGTTAAAGGTATGGAACAGTTTTCATTTACTTTTTCCTTAATTTTTTCCTTCTGTTCTCTTCTTAAAGGTTATGCTCTGATGGCAAAACATATTGTTCCAATTATGAAATGTCAACAAGAAACTTGTTCAATAATTAATCTCGCTAGTGGTAGTGGTATGATAGCTATTCAGAAATCGGTGCCATACTCAGCAACAAAAGCAGCCATTATTCAGATGACAAAAAATTTGGCTTTAGATCTTGGTACTCACAATATCAGAGTCATTTCAATTAGTCCGGGACCAATAGGTATGGCAAGTTTGCTCAAAAAGAAAATCTAACCTTTTCTTTCGTTAATGTGTTTGAAAACAGTCAGGAGGAGATAGATAATCGCAGAACACTTTTACAATCCTTATTTTTCTATGTGACGTGTGAGACTATCCTTATTGGATGATAGCACTTTCGTCACGTTAATTTTCGTCACATAGAAAAAAGAACTTTCGTCACATGTGTCGAAAGTATGTGGCATATTTGGGGAGCACCACCCGCACTTTGGTCACGAAAGTGATGAACTTTTGTAACCAACTGTGTACCTGCCAGAGCCCGAAATGGCTAATCAAACGCGATCAGACCGGACCGGATGATTATTACCCGAAGGAGACCGGAAACATGACAATGTTTTCGTACACATTCGCAAAGAAATACTTCTTTCCTATATTAACGTTATCGTAGTCAGACTGTTCTGAAATTTTTTCAAAAAAATGGTCAGATTCCTTACGATTTTTGTCAATTTTTCCTTTTATAAGTGGAAAGTTTGGGTAATTCCGGCAGTTTTTCTTGTATTGACCTGAGTTTGACCCAGAAAAGGTTTTTGATTTGATCCGAACGCGAGTTCACCCGACCCGAATCAATATCGTTTACGTTGAGCCGAACTAAGAAAATGAAACATTTTTAAAGGAAAAAGCAAGAAGTTAATATCCTAGTCTGCACTACTACACTAGGACTAATGAACTTTGCAGTACAACCTTGCTTTCGTCGTAACCGTTTCATGCAATGTGTGATGAAAGTGCCGCGCCACCCGTCTAAAAAACCAGACACTTTCGTCACAAAAGGGTTTAACTTTCGTAACTACTATATAAACATGGCTAAACTTTCGTCACATAAAAGAACTTTTGTCACTGAAAACAGAGTTTCATGTAGCGAAAGTTCCGCGTTATTCGACGACGAAAATGTATGGTGGTGAAAGTGCTGTGAAAGTTCTTCGGCTTGTCCAAACGTAACGGTGTTCCGTTTTTGGACGCACTAAAATGAAATTATCTCGGAAACTAAAATAGTTAAAAAGCTCATTTAAACGCCATTCGATGCAGCTCGTCGATCCCAATTTACGGTATAAAAACGAAATGTTTTGCATGAAGTCTCGAATTTTGAGAACGGTTTTTGTAGGCCGTAACGGTGTTACGAAAAAAGACCCTTTTTTTCGAGTGCTGTCAACAAAAACGTGAATTCCGACAAAGGTAAAGGTCATAATGAAAAGTTTTTAGCACAGAAATTGTAGAGCACCAAACGGGCTATCGGGTGGTAAAAAAAGAATTTTTCCAACATCTTTAGTTAAGGCAAAAACATCAAAACATAAACGTAACGGCGTTACGTTTTTCGTAACGGTGTGACGCACTGTTTTTGTCGAGTGTTTTCGAGGGACTTAACATGATCAGGAGATTTTGATATTACACAGATAATTATTCGTGCGATAGTTAGCCGATATAAGCAAGAATAAAGTCGCTACCTCGGGTTGGAGGGTCAAAAACTGTAAATTAAGTCGGAAAATGTACAAATATGTAAGGTGCCGCTAATTCAAAAATCAAGCACTCTTCATTTTTCCTTGAAAGACACATCATCCGATGCAGAATTTTGTGCTGATTACGAATATCACCTTTTTAGTTCGATTTGTTTGAGTTTTGTGT